GTTCGTTGTTAAAGTGAAAATTATTTATTGTCACTGAGTAGTGTTCGGAATTCGATGGAAGGTCTAGATTTAGATATTTCCAGTACTTAATAGTATGTAAATAGTAAACGTCCATAGCACAAAGTAGAATGTTGGGCGGTAGTAGTACGTTGTTATTGATTTTCTCAATAAGTTACGAAAATGTGATGTCTTTAATGTAAGAAGGAAGATTGGTAGTAAATCTTTCAATGGTGATGTTTTTCTTAGTGTTGAAAGAAAAGCCAGGATTATTAGATTGTGTATTTTAGGTAATAGAACATCTTCCTGGACAAATAAACATGAAAATTGATATATACCAGAAAGAATAATAGGAAAACTAAAACATTCACTGATGAGAATTGAACGAGGATGCTGAAAAGAGGTAGCTTTGAATATAGTTGATTAAAAAAACTTTAAAAGACGTTTCTTATATTTAGATAACGGTAAAGAGTTTCACGAAGTAGATAGAAGTTATCCCCCAATCAGAACATATCATCCGGATTTTGTTTTTCTTTTGTTAAGTGCAAAACTACAAATTTGCCTATCTGTGCTATGCCCACTGCGGGTATCGAAACCCTATTTTTAGATTCAAGAGTTTGCAATTGGTACAAGAAACTAATTTTAAGAGCTATCTTCTTGCTAAGTCGTGTCATCTTTTGATGATTAGGAAAACCCATACCTCAACCTACTCCCGTACTCAGATGGACTAGTGAAGAAAAAAGTGATATTTAAAGTTATGAAAAGAAGAACCACTTCAGATGTCCACTTCTCCTGCATTCTTATGGTTTGCAGGGAGCTATTTAGGTGATTATCAAATGACAATCTTCAAGTTGATGATAAAATATTCAATAACGCTTTACATCAACTGGTTTTTGTAACATGATTACTGATCTTTTCAACTACTTCCTTCATCTAATAGAAAGAATGATAACTAACCAATTCATGTTTTAGAGCGAGTAGAAAGAAAGTAATTTAGTTTTTGATGCTCCATACGCTCTGCTTACTGAATGGGATTGAATCCTGGATTTTTACTGACCCACTGAAGGGCGGCTTCGAAGGGATTCTCCCTGGTAACAAGTATCAAGAAAGTACTTCACCAAACAACAGTAGCTGTATTGTGCTAGTTGCCTTAACCCAGGCCTCGACAAATCCTGGGCGCAGGTCGCCATGGCGACTAAAAATTTCATCGTAGCGCTCATTTTTTTCTTGCGCAGGACTATGTTAAATAGAACTCGAATCTAGAACAGTTCCGGACTCTTGGAATTCCGGAACTATCTTCGCGTTCTTTGAGTCCTAAATCGAACTTTGTTTCTAGGATTTTAATGGCGAATTCAGCACTTTATGTTTCTTCAGGAATGAAAAGGTTGTACAACATGTTACTAATTTCTCGCCATTTTGTTTTTTTTTCTTTTTCTAAATTCAACCAATCAGTGCGCGTATTTAGACTCAATCGGGACCAAAGGCAATTAGTTCAGGCAATACTATCAAGTGGTTGTTGATATCATTTGATCGTTAGCATGCACTCGTTGCTGTAAAAGTAAAAAGATATAAATTGGCGCCTTGATTATCCGCACTGATCCGGAGAAAGAAAAAATCGCGGATAATCGAGGCACTAGTGCATGGAAGGAACCAAATTTTTTCCTGGCCATGGACGTGGCCAGTCGATCACAGAAATGGCCACACTATTAATCAAACAGAAAATATTCGCCAAATACATTTATTTCAGGTTTCTAATGACATTCAAGGTCAATTATAAACACAACGCAAAAGAACAAAAAAAAATATTTTTTCAAAATTACAAAAGCATGAAATTTCAATTAGAGATTTGGCATTCTTTTTCTCTGACCAGCTAAAAAACACACTATCGATGATTTTACGAATTGGGCACATATTTGTGCGAAATGGCCATTGACCAATGGGCTGCTCACACAGGCATTAGTGTATCTCACTAGTTAGCCCATTATTTAATTTAAGTAAAAAATTTTCAATATATTTAAGTTTCTTGTTTTAAATTACAATCTTTTTACTGTCGTTTAATCACATTATAATGAAAAATTATAACAGTCGTTACAACCATAATCATAATAGCCAAATGTCGGTTGGTCAGTCAGTCGGTTATGCTCTATTTCTCCCAAATGTTGGTTGGTCAGTCAGTCGGTCATGCTCTATTTCTCCCAAATGTCGGTTGGTCAGTCAGTCGGTCATGCTCTATTTCTCCCAAATGTCGGTTGGTCAGTCAGTCGGTCATGCTCTATTTCTCCCAAATGTCGGTTGGTCAGTCAGTCGGTCACACTCTATTTCCCCCAAATGTCGATTGGTCAGTCAGTCGGTCATGCTCTATTTCTCCCAAATGTCGGTTGGTCAGTCAGTCGGTCACGCTCTATTTCTTCGAATTTCGTGAGTTACATGAGTCCAATTCCACTTTTTCTCCTATAATACTTCCTCTTTAGATTGCACATTTCCGTTTTAGTTAAATTTAATCGCTAGCATATGCGCAAATAGCTCCTAAATTTCGGCACCTTTCCTGCTATAGACGCAGAAGTGAATTTGCACCATATCAATTAGCGCAAATCTATGCTTGAGAATTATTACAAAAAAGCCTTTGTTAAAACAGACTGAAGATACCAATTATCTGTAGCGAAGAGGACAATGTGTAACTGGCGACATCCCAAACACAACCTGATCATGCATCTGTGGTTAAAGGATGCTCGCCGTGCAGCATAGAACAGCGGACAACAACTGAGGTTGAGTGCAATATTTAAGAAATCTTAATGTGTATTTTGTGTGTTTTTGAATTGCTATGTTTTTAATCACTAATCAAATAAAGTTAACCAAGCTACAAATATTTTGTATTCCTGTCTTAACAGCTAAAAATAAAAGAGGCAAGGCTAGGCTTGAACCGGTTGACTAACGATTTGAACGCACGCGGATTTCATGCAATATCTGAACTTTTGCAACCAAAATTAATTTCTGAGTGACAGTTTCTCCAAACATGTAAATATTGTCTAGAATTGTAATGGCATAATTATTTTGAGAAAAATTTGGGAAAAGAAAAACCGTGGATAATCAAGGATTGCAGATAACGGACGTCGTGGATAATCGAGGTACTAGTGTAGCTCCCATTTCCCGGATAACAGAGGTCGTGGATAATCGAGGTACAAGTGTAGCTCCCATTTCCCGGATAACGGAGGTCGTGGATAATCGAGGTACTAGTGTAGCTCCCATTTCCGGATAACGGAGGTCGTGGATAATCGAGGTACTAGTGTAGCTCCCATTTCCCGGATAACGGAGGTCGTGGATAATCGAGGTACTAGTGTAGCTCCCATTTCCCGGATAACGGAGGTCGTGGATAATCGAGGTACTAGTGTAGCTTCCATTTCCCGGATAACGGAGGTCGTGGATAATCGAGGTACTAGTGTAGCTCCCATTTCCCGGTACAAACAATATTGAAGTTAGGTTAGGCACACATGGCTCTCCTGAGATTCTTGGCTGGCTCCTAGATCTGAAAATATTTGTCGAGGGGTGCCTTACCCTGACAAGGGTTTCAGTTTGTTCCTCTTAATCACATCTGTTGGTGTTTCCTCACAAGATTGTTTATCTCAGCGCTGCTTCTCTCTCAGTTCTTTGAGAAACACTAATTGCGCTCTAAACAACTTCAGAAGTCCCATTTTCAGGGTTCTGAATGTTTTATTATCTCTGTGTATCATCGCACCTCATAACGATGGTTTCTTTGCACCAGAGCACTTTTCTCCACTACTGAACAGCACTTGAATTATCCACTATTAATCTACTTGGACTTCCAGGACTTCGGCTGACCTGCAATTCTTTTCATGCTAATGGTCTTTGTTTCTCATATAAGACCATAGAGAGCAAATTACGATAATGGTTCCTGGCAAACATATCTTTATAAATGGTGCATTTGAAAGTTACGAACCCCTAATAGTATAGGACTTAAATCATCAAAGAAGCACGTAGAATGTTAAGTTTTTATAAGAAAATCAATTAGTTTATCAGATAAAGGTCTTTCATTTTGACAGTTTTCGACGAACAGTGTTCACACACACAGAGAGAATGATTTCGAATCTTTTTCATTAGGTCACATAAGGACAAATGTGAGATTTTTGTGATAATCTCATATGATTTAAACGTGTATCACATTGAAATAAAAAATATTTTCTTTCAAAATGCTTCAACAATATTTTTCTGTAAACCATTTTCTACGTTTTATTACATAGACTGAAGGTTTAATTCTGCACGGCTTTTTCCATTTTTCAGAATTAATGAAGTTGAAGCGAAATTGCAGCTGATGAAAGAAGAAAGAAAACTTCTACAACAGTCACACGAGAAACGGTTAGTTTTATTTTTAGATGTTGAAACCTACTTTACTATTGATCTATACGTAGCCCAATACCCTTGTGGCCCTCCAATTATAACAGCGTGTTTTTAATTCTAAGGAAACAGAAATATTTTCAATCACGAAGAAAAGCTCATAATATATGTACAGATCGTCTTGATATTACTACACATGTCTTAGTTTATCTAATATGGAAACTGAGATTATTCTTTCCTTAAGAGAAGAAATAATTACTTTGCTTACTTTCCATAACTATGATTTTACCCTGGTATGAAAAAACTAAAATGAAGGGTTTTTTTTTAATTGCGTCATTTTTTGTTTTATTTCAGAACATCAATATCTATGTATATTAATTATATTAGAAAAATCGTAAATTAAATCGCGGGAGTTGTCTACAGGTGTTGATTACTTTTTCTCATTGAGGATGTATAGAATGTAGGAGAGGATAATTTGATGTATCATCTCTGACTTTCGAAAGTGTTCAGTAAATCTATATGTAATTTCCAGATATTATCCTAACTAGTTTCGAAATGGTGTTATTTCACATGACAAAAATAGAAGTATGTGACGTCATTGAGCTTTCCAAGAATGCTGTTTTTGGCTAAATAATATAATTCTTGTTCTTGTTGATTTAAGAACGTGAGGCGTACTTGTTTGTTTTAAAAAAAAAATCTTGAGATGCTTTGACTGGTTAATAGAAAATCTATCTGGTTTTCGGAAACTTTCATGACTTTAATAAGGTTTTTAAAAGTACTGATATGATAGCATTACACAACAAAGCATTAGGCATGGGTAAGTTGTCATTTAGCAAAAACAAAAATATCAGCGTATCATATTCAGCTTTGGTACAGTTATTCCTCCTTTTTGTACCGATTAATCTAAGTATTTTAAACTAGTTGAGAATGGCACCAAACCGAGTTATCCGCCACCAAGTCAGTGAACTGTAACGTTTTAAACCTCAATAGATATAAACTGTACCGGTTTTACATATATGGTAAACATTTAAGGTGAATGATTAATGCATTGAAAATTCTGTCGACTTAATGTTATGTTAAATCGTTAAACCACTTCCCTTGTAGCTGGACATATTAATAATAACCCTCATAATAAAAAATCTTTACCGTTGGAATAGTTTATGTTGTTGAGGAGGTTATTTTGGATTATTTGGCAAAAAGAATAATGGAAACCCAGTCCAGTTAAAGATAACACACAAAAAGGTTATTCCTTTAACTCCAAGTTACACGTTTAGTGTGACCAACGTTTACCGTCGGTAATCGTCAGATTTTAAGTTTAATTATATCAATTTTAGTGTAAAGGACATTAATCTCAGTTTTGATTTGTGGTTGCTTTTTAAGAACAAAAATTGAGAAATTTCTAAAATAACAGAAATTTCTATAATCAGCCTAAAAACAGTCATAGATATGATACTAGTATGTATCTATTTGTTTTATGTCTTGTCAAGAAACATCTATGCAAATATACATTTGATGTAAATTAATTAATTATTCGTGTAATTTTTGAGTGATAGAAATATACAGACTATACAATCAATCTCAAGATATTGTTTGTTTGTTACAAAGTTACACAAGGGCTATCTGTACATTGACGTCCTTAATTTTGAAGTAATAGATAGAGGTGAGGCAGTTATTTAACAGCACCCACCGGTAACTCTTGAGTACTCTTTTCTGATCGAACAGTGGGAGTTGATCGTCACTTTTATACCACACTCGTGGTCCCAAAATGTGAAGTACGTTTATACGCCAACGGGGCGCCAGCCATGAACTCTCTGATTCACAATCAGCCCAACAAGATATGGACCAGTAAATCTGAACAACAATATACAGTTTACACTTGTGAAGCATAAACTATTATATAAATATTTTTTTCTTTCATGAACATTTTACACATATCTGCATAAAGCTCCAAGTAACTATTAGATCTCTTTAAAAAGATTAGAATTAATATTTCTCAAACAATTAAAGTAATTTGACTGATTATTTCATTAAATTATTCACTTGTTTAAGAATTTACGATCTAAACACAAATGGTTACCAGTAATATTTATAATTATGTTTTTAAAAGAAATTGAACAACATCAACTTTATGTTTGCGTTAAGGAATGCGATTTTTTTACTGTTCTAAAACATTCTAGGCCTAAACGGAAGTGTTAATAATTCTGTTGTGGTAACTGGTAGTAAATTATTAATTAGATAATATTTTAAACAATCTCTCTCTCTGCTCTTAGTCTAAACCTAAATCAAATAAATATTAGATAAACGTTGTACTTAAAGAACATTACGCACTTATAAATGGCATATCTCCTGAAACGTGATTAAGAAATGAGAAGAAATTTTGAAAAAAGTTTAGAGAATGAATTTGCAGACGTAGAGGAAAAGGGATGGTTTGACGAACCTTATTTACTGGCCAACGTGATATTTCAACTTCTTCAGTTCCTAAATCATACAGCAATGACGGCAGGAAACAGTTCAAAATGTTGTTAAGGTTCACATATCGTGAAGTAGAAGTTCATCTGTTCATCAGATTACTTGAACTGAAATAACTTTAGCCCTGGAATTGAAACAGGAGTCTATTAGGTCCATAAGTACCCCAGCAGCTTTTTAAAAACATTTTCTAAATTGTTTGTTGGTTCATATCGCTGTTTGTTACAGAATTCCTAATAAATATGAATCCTAAATATCTAAACAAAAATACCACACTATTGTCATTAATTTCCCTAACTTTTGCTGTGGTTACACATGAAAATGAGCGATGTTATTCATTTTGTGTTTTAGTGAGTGTAACAGACAGAAACATAATTACACATTATGTTGATATTACTGGTAGTGTACGGTTTAAAAACGAGCGGGTAATTTGAGGGTTAAGCAACCTACTTTTAAGTATCTGGGAAATTCTTGTGTTAGTTTTTGAGATGGACGATTAAGAATTATATGAGTAGCTGTAGTAAACTCAAAAGCAATGCCACTATATTATAAATAACGTACTTGTGAAGTTTTTCAAAATCTTTGTAATTTTCTATAGTCAAATATACTTGTTGGATCTGTAAAAATATGTAATTATAAATTTTCTCTATTAGACTTTATGAAGTAGAGACCAAGGTCCTAGAAAAAGATCAGTTAATTAGGAAATCAAGTCAAGACAGAAAAACAGAGAACCAAGAGCTTCTGGAACGTATTTCTAAAATAGACAGAGAAAAGAACGACATAGAAAGTGAAAGAATGAAACTTATATCTGTAGTCAGTACGCTGGAAAAGGAAAAGATAGAACAGGAACAAAGGTACGTTAATCAAAATTGAGATTATGGTTTTAGTATAAAAAGAAAAATTACAATATTAGTTTAATCATCATTGGCTATCCTATTTTACATAAATAATAATTTCGAGTCTTAATAGTATTTTCAAATTATTTATTTTTTTATCAAAAAAAAGAAACTCTAAATTAAATTGATATTATTTCATGTGAAGTACGTTGTGTTAATTTCACAAACTATATTTCTTCTGGATACTGAGCATACCAGCTAAGTCTGTCTCATTCCCACAGCCAATCGCGTGCAACATCATTTGTAACAGGTCAATTAGGGAACACAGAACAGCTTAATAAATCGTATGAACAATATGTTAAAAATTTCGGAAATAAATATTAATGTAACTGATATCTCTAGATAGCTATAGGATACTTCAATAATTTTTTCTTTACGATTTGAAAGCTTTCATTCAGAGCACCATTTAACATACAACAATAATAACTTTAATCTCTTTATCATTCCGTAACAACTTTTGATTCCAACCTGCTCAATAACTGGAACCCTATAATTCCCAGGCATAAATAACTTAAAAGTAAACTTATACACGGTGAACTATTTATAGTTGTAATAAGAATAAATTAAACGGCTCACAATTTCCAAAGGACGAACGTAGGGTAGCCTATAGAACAGCTGGTACACGTATGACTTAATAAACAATATCAGTACAGTTCTTGGTGATTTACTATAATGTCTTGTCACCCTACACTCCATTTCACAACACGAAGTACACTTCATTTGGGCAGTAAAGCTAGAAAATACGACCTTTACTCACCAGGTAACAATAAAAAAAAAACTTTAATTTCTTCCAACGTTTCGCCATTGCGGCTTCATTAGTACTACTAGACCTGATGAAACTGCAATGACGAAACGTTGACAGATGTAAAAGTTTTTTTTATCATTATCTGAAGATTAAAGCATTTTCTCCAACACTGTTGTCAAAATATCTAAAATTATCCTATATGCACTACCGATTCTGTAAAACAACAATAATGACTATATTATGATGATTCCATCATCTCATGGTAAGTCACACAAAAAAAATGATTTGGGTATTAGTCATCTTTTCCAATGTTGGTGTATGGCTCTTCCTGTGGCACGTCAAGTTCTTAGTCAGGAGTTGCCAAAACTGTAGTCATCTTTCAAGGCTTACTGTAGGTCTTAAGATATGATTTACAACTCTAATAGAATGGCCCACAACTGGCTAGTTGATGATAATGTAGCTAGAAAGTTAGAATTTTAATATTAAGTAGCAAAAGTCTGGATTTAAAGCACAGTGTCTTGGGCTACTCTTTTACTAAAGTATAGTGGTATCGAACGTCACATTATAACGCTCCCACGGCTGAAAGGGTGAGCATGTTTGGTGGGGCGGGGATTCAAACCCGCGACACTCAGATTGAAAGTCGAGCGTCCTAACCAGCTGGCGATGCCGGCCCCCTGGATTCAGAGCTGCACCTTCGCTACCTTGATGATGGTCCATAGTTATCCTCGAACCCCCACACATTCCTTCCACTACCGTCTGGGTGCTACCTAGATCTTCTGACTGTAGAAATTCGCAATCACCAACATCTTGCCTCCCTCCTGACTTTCTTCCTATATAAGTATAGCAAAAAAGGAAAGCAACCCACATAATCAAAAGTACTCTTCATACTCAAACATTGGGTACATCAAGTTTCCAGTTGTTTTGCACTGTGATATTGTTTATGAATATTACTTTCCCCAGATAACTTCACCTTACTCACATTTCAGTTCAATCCAACAGAAATGTTTCTGACCAACACTTGCAAACACAAGTTGATCAAATTTGTTTTCCTCTAAGTGTGGCAATAATGAGCCTCTTCACCACTGCTAGCATTTCCATAAAATGCCCTACCTGCCAAATGTTTCAATGTCAAAACTGACAAAAAAGCATGCCTGTATGTTTCACACCTACATTACGAAACAAACAAGCATGTTGTTTCTTCAAATAATGTGTTACAGGCCCGTAACCATAGTTAACTTCATAACTCAAGGTTTTAACATTCTGGTCAAATCCTCACATTCTCATTCAATTATTGTCTAGGGGTTGTGTTCCTAGTAATTGATTGTGCAAATCAGTGATTGTCCCAGCTGCAATAACCAAACACTCGTCACAAAATGCTATTCACGCATTCTTCAGAATATTCCACTTGCTAGCTTGGAAAGCAAGGGTCGCAATTGTCTTTCAGTTGTCGATTTCTTAACTAAACAATTGTCCTAGCTGTGATAATCAAGTGGAATGTTACACACTGTAGTGCATTCATTGTAACTTGAAATACCATCTAATATCTCACAAAACAAGGAATGCCAAATCCATTCAGTCCTTGATTCTTCAACCAAATGACCATCCTGGTTGCCACGCATCTCTACCAAGTGATTAGGAGGTTGTTATTGGCACTTCCATGTACCCTTGCAGCTCTGAAACTGCCCCTCATCCCTAACCACTTAGTTGAGTAATTCTTCTCTGGTGGTTCACAGTTGGGTGGGCCAGTACCAGAAACCATACACTTTGCAAAGCATCAGCTTCCAACCCCAGAGTTTCAGAAAGACAGGCCATTGGAGTTAGCTCGTTTATGTGGCATGCTGAACTGCAGATTGCCCCACAAACTGTGGAAGCTTTGTCGGCTCATCTCCCATTTTGAGTAGGGTATGTCCTGCCCCACTGATCATGATTATCATCTGCGACTGCCCAGCAATACAAGTTGTATTGGTGAAGCTCATCTACTAACACCATCTTGCTTCTGACCCTTGATTCAGCAACTTGTTGTCTGCGTTCACAGAGAGGTTCCCTGTATAGGGGTCCTATAGATACTACTCATCTGGTTGTGAACACCCTCGGACGCACACAGCTTCAACAATTTTAATTCTTCCAGGCTACACACATGCTGAGGCTCAGCTTCAGAGAGAAAACTTCGTCAGGTCTTCTGCGACTCCAGATGGCTCTATTTCTCTATTCTCGATTTGAGACAGCAAGGTGATGTCCATTGAGGACTTTCCACAGACCTAGCAACCCTATTTACATACCACCCTTCCTCTAGTTCCTGAAGAAAATGCCATTTTTACCTAATCAATGACTTGGGGTAGTTACTGGAGAGTTGAAGAATCTGGATATTCATCACTCATAAAGCACGAACATCTAACACAATACAATACAATTACAAAACGATAATAAACCCAAAGTTAATACAATATAACAAAGTGTTGCTCTGTGACAAAGTTAACATTATAATAACATCTACAAAGTCTAATTCAAATCTGAAAAATTTACCAGAATGGTCAATTAGTGAATCAGGTCCCGGGACAGCTAGAATATGGAAAAGCTAGATGTGTTTACTTGAGTGAATTTCAACGTTCAAAATAAACTGAAAAAGCACAAAAAAGTCATATATCAATTAAGAGCGGTAGCATGGTACCACATTACTCCAATATTTGAGATAGAATTTCTTGTAATGTCCATAATGTTTATTGACGAAACAGTATATACTTATTTTTAGTGGCATCTTCCTCAAATGAAACATCTGTCAAGGTGAATTACTATAACCCTAGTACCATACGCAGAAAGGAATTTAAAAATGGCGTCGGGAGGCCATAGGGATAAAATGAGGGGATATGAATTGAGAAGCCACATTTTCCCAAATTTTCATCCAGACTACAACTTTCTTGAGTTCTTTCATTAATTAAAGAAAAAAGTTGCTAATGGCTATTTTATAAACATCATGCATGAAATATGTGTGGCAAAATAACGCATCTAAAAAAATGAAATTAAAAATATGACAACCCCTGAAAAGCTCTGTTGGGGGTTCCCTTTTCGGTGGGTGTTTTTCTCTCTTTGATGACAACATATTCATATTTCATTTCTGGAAAGAAAGAGATGTTAAAAAGGTTATCTTTTTACTTCCGTCTGATTCTTCTGGTTAAATAGTTTTCGAGAAATGAAACAATCATCAATTCTTGTTTTATATTTGATGCAAAAAAGGTGATCCAGTTCTACTTAAAACAAATTATTGTTCATTATCCATTAATTATAAGTATGTAATACAGAAAGTAAGATTTATGAACTTACAATTTCAAGCAGTATGGATTCATTTTGTATGTACACAGCAGTTTCTATTTTAGACCAAAAAGGAAAACAAACACATTTTAAAAGGAAATACTAATAATTTAAAAGAGCTGTTAAATTTTTAGAACTGTTACAGATATTTTCAACTTGAACTGCACCTTACGCTACACATGGATTAAACAGGCAGGACAGAGAATCCAATATTTTAGGCAAAAACTACCCGAATTTAGAACTGATCACTGCAGAATGGACAACCAGTTAGCAATACCTATTGCCCAATATGTGACAACTCTTAACTGAATAGTAGGCTTGACTGTCACGGTACAAATCCCCCACAGCTGAAAATACAGAGTGTGTTTAGCGGCATATCGCAGCTCGAATGTTGGACTTTCAGATCATCAGCCCGATATGCTAATTACTAGGCTACACTCGGCCTTGAAATATTTAGAAAATTGTTTTTGAAATCCCAGCTTAGCGATTCAAGCAGTTTTGAAGCTGCTTTTGTAAGTTTGGATCCTTCGAAGAGAATGAATAAATAATTCACTTTTAATATATAATGCTAAAGAGTTCTTGAAATTATAAGTTTTATTTTACATTCAAAATAACAACTCTCTCCTCATTCGGTAATACAAATGTGTTCACTATTGTACTAAAGTGACTCGGCAATTGTTTTCATGTCTTTGTTGTTTGGTTAATAGTCGTTTATCAAAATCTTATGATGTATTGATCTCTGTGGAAAATAATGCTTCACAGGTTCTCTACTTCAATAGATATGTTGTTCTCTAATATTCAGATTGCAATAAGAAACTAAAATTCTATTTGTTTCCTTTTTCAATAACACATTTTTGTTCTTTTCCTTCATAATAATAAAAATTGTTTTTTAATCTTCGATAGTGATATCGCTTTGAAACAAATGAAGAGTTTTTATTTCTTATTTAACACAATTCTAATTCGTCTTTTATGTAGAGATAATACATAAAAGGCTTTCACCTAAACCCAAAGTTTGTTTGTGAATGATAGAAATACTATTTTATTAAAATGTAAAACATTTTTACTTCACATAATTTATTCTAAAGGAACTTTTGAAAAATTTTTGATTGCTGTTTTGAAAAGTTATTTCTGATATTTTCATAGTGCTATAATATTTTCACTTTTTCATTTCGTTACAACAAAATTTAATTTTATGTATCATAAACCCATGTTTAAGGCTTGTGTGTATTATATAGTCACACCATGGAAATTGAAAGATTAAAAAGCGAACATGAAAAGGAGAGTTTCAAGCTTTCAAAAATGATAACAGAACAGGAAAGTTGTATCATTAATTTGCGAAATGAGATAAAGATATTGAAGCAGAACCTAAAAGAAAAGACAAGTGAAATTAGAAGGTTCGCCGATGAACTGGATATATCAAGGAAAAATTTAACCAAACAGAAAGAGGAATTTGAAAAGTTACATATACGGTGGATAAGGAATTTTGAAGAAAAAGAACAAGAAATGAATGCTAAACTCAACAGGATGAATTCAGATTTAAAGAACTCACAGCAACAGGTTAGCTTTAATGTATGTCTATATATTTGTAACATTGGGAAGTTCTTGTTTATTTATTAGCCAAGGTGCCATACATCACGAGGAAACGCCCTTCTCCACATTGCTAGCGTTTAGACTCCTTAAGTTGAATACTTAATTTGTTCTTTGATTTTTGAGCCGGGTGTGACCAAATGGTTAGCATGCCTGACTGTGACTCTGAGCGGCCATGGTTTATGTTCATTGCCGCAAAATCTGCACTTTGAAGTCGTGGGTGCATTATAAGAATGAAGGACAAATCCCACTATTTGATCAGAGTATCCAAAAGTTGGCAACGGGTGCTGTTCACTAATTTTTTCCTGTATTTAATATAAAAGACACACTACTTAGATGGGGGAACAGGAATAAGCGATTTCTGGTACATCAATTAGGTAGTAATAATATTCTCATAGATTATAAATTGGTAACAAATTGTATACACATATAGACTCTAATTAAACTAAGTTCGTGATATAATAACATTTTAGCAGTTATGTACACTAAAGTTTCAACTAAATTATTTTCTTCCATACGTGTGAATAATAGATAAAAGTGGCTTTAATCGTTCTCTACGTTACAGTCCATGGCATTCCATTACAGCGTGTAGTACTGTCGCCATGAGCAACAAAGAAAAACCGGCACTGGTGTTACATGATTGACACTAATGTTGATAAGGCCCTGAGGTATCCTCGACCACATTCTTAATGTCTACATTTGCTTGAAGGGATCAATCATCCAACAGCATTCATTATATTCACAATTGGATTGGAGTCCATTGAGAGCAAAGTAATTCTTATCATTCGATCGATTTCTTCTTCTTTAAAGAAGGTGTCATCCAGTCTAGCATGGTGGAGGCGGACGTTTTCACTCAATGGACCGAAGACAGGATCGGTTACACTGACATTTTAAATACATATAGCAAGGAACTATTTAGTTCTTCAAGGCTGTCTCTGCACACCCACCCTTGAGAAAGATTTAAAACTTAAATGTATACTTTATTCTTCAAGAAATTATCAACTCTTCTTTAAAATGTTTTAAAATGTAATGTCGGCCTCTAGTAATGCCGACGGCAACTCATTCTATAAGTCAATCGTTCTATTAAAAAAATACAAATGTTGTAACTTGAGCTAAGTTTGTAGTTTCCAAATATTAAGCTTATGTCCTCTCGTCTAATTGTTTTCAGAGTATAGCTTAAAGAAATCAGACGTTTTATCCTATCAATAGCCTGGATAAACTTGTACACTTCAATAAAATCACCTCTTAAGATATTTTAACTTATCCCCATAAGATAGTCTCGCTATTAACCTGTCACGTTTTTATAAGGCCGCAATTCGTTACAGTAGGTGCCTGTGACTTTACTCTATTGGTTATCACAGTTGTATCCAGAGCTTTAAATAACTGTCTCTTTTTCGTCAAAGTCCACACAAGTGGGTTCAATTACTTTAGAACACAATTAACAAGACAAATTATTCTCTTCTACACCGTTATTCCAATACAATCAGTGATAAATTCACTTACATTATCTTGTGCGTTACCATAGTTGTATCCAAAGCTTTAAATATTTCTCTTTTACATCTAACGTCCACATAGGCTCATTCAATTACTTTAGAAGTCAATTAACAAGACGAATTATTCTTTTCTACTCTGTTATTACAATACAGTCTGCGATTATAACACTTTAAAATCGCCACTATACACTCTTTATCAGTTTCTGGCTAAACTTACAAACACAGACTAGATTTATATTTAAATAAAATTAATAAAACGAGTTACTTATATTTTTTAAAGTTTACAAATAAATTATTGTGCAAGTAAAAAACGTTGATGTGTCGTTTTATTAATCTTATTATTTTTTTTGCACAAGAAGAGTCTGTTTTACGTATTCAGATTTATATTTCTAACTAACTTTGTCTTATTTTTACTTTCACTAACCTCTTAACTCTCTGTGTCTGCACGTATTTATAACACACGACAGAAAAATCTAGAAATATCTAGCCCTTTAGTAACAACAAGATTACAAACATTTTCATGAAACTACCTAATCATTAAATATTATATCACTAAATAAACTAAATAATAACTCTTAAAGTGAAAAGTCTTGTATATCCAACATAGCCTTACTTTGAACTCTTTCCAGTAACTCAATATTCCTTCTTAGATAAGAAGATCAAAACTATACACTGTATTCCAAATGTAGCACTATACTTTGTGGAATTAATAGTCTAGAAATTGGATCATTCATCAATGTTTGTTCTTGCCAATGCCACACTTTCACTGCGTCACTTTCTTGTATGAAAATTTAGCTACAGATCCTCGTCAAATGAGTATAGACATGTTATTCGGCTGTAGGATTAAGTACGACTCATCGATAAAAAGGAATACTGCTCCACATCTAGTTGGCTCAGTGAACTACTCTAGGTACCATTTCAGATAAGCTGTTATGTGCCTCGCTCTAAGTGGAATACACCTCGTTGATATATAGGCTGGCCTCGTGAAGTCTGTTTCTAAAAGCGTTTGCCATATCACAGTGTCCAGTTGCGGTTGTCAACATCTGAGTAGGTACACTGGTTGTAGTGGCCTATAATCAAGAGATAACGGTTAGTGTGTTGTAGATAATGATATCCGTTGTTCTTCTGTCTCAACAACGGAGCAGTTCCTCATTCTGCTTTCGACCAAGTTCCAACAGCCTGCTATCAATGTCTGGCTTCTACTTGTCTTATAGCTTATTGCGTGAGTGAATCACCTAGAAGTCTTCTTTGAGATCTAGTCGTTATTCACAAACAATATTATATACTTTAAAGTATGTGACTCATTTCAAAGTAACAGTTGAGTCTAGATTGTGTGAGATCATTATTTATATACGTATATGTAGACTGGAAGATAACATTTTTGTATTTTAGATCATATGATTGATTATCAGATTCCTGATTTGCATAACAATAAACTGAAAAGGGGCTTAATTGATGTAATTTAAAACGTTTTTTCACCCCTAAGCTAGCTATAATATTTCAAACTCAGATTACCTTTAACTGTTTTTCGTTGCTTCATAGGCGTCGCTAGGTGCTTAAAAGTTCGGGGCTCGGGTCCGAATTCGCGGGAATTTTTGGCGTTAATCGATCATGGTTCCCTATACTGATTTTTCAAGAGCACCAAATGGATTCGGAGCAATGTCAACTAGAATCGGCGCACGGTCCCATATGCCAGTGCCTATCATCGTCTCTGCGTAGCTTAGTTGAATCATGTATGATCAGTGAGACAAAATGAAACAATATAAGTACATATCATCGTAATCTCAAATCATTAATAAACAGCAAAAAAGAAAAAAGAAATCTTATCATATTGATATCCGAGATGAGATATATGGACGAATCTTATTTGCATTAAGAGACCCTTATGAACCTCAACCATTTGTGAATGATGTTAGTATGATCACGTTTTACTAGTCATTTGAAATTAATGTTGGTGAAATACTGTAATTAAAGTACCTTAAATTGGTCTTTCAAGTTCTAAGTTCTAATTTTTGCTTCTCTTATTAACCACGATCGATAAAACTGAAGCTGCAATATTTAAACGGCATTCCTTCTGAAATATTAACAAGTAAATCCTTTTTTCAAAACAGTTTAGTTCACTTCTAATTTGTCGACTATATTTTCTCCCAGATGTATAATGAAATAAATAGTTTTATTCCAATTATTCTTGTTAAAAATCTTGAAAATAAAAGTTTCTGACAATTATGTATCCCCCGATGGGATAACAGTAAATTTATAGACTCACAACGCTAAATTCCGGGACTCGATCCTCCGCGATGGATACAGCAAATAGACCAATGTGGCTTTCCTCTAAAATAAATAAACAGACAATTATGTATATATTTATTCATTTAAGCGAGGGTTGGCCTTATGGTAGAACTCTGGATTTGAGCGTGCAAGTCAGGTTCGAATCCATACCATGTTACAAAGTATTCCACCCATTTTAACCTCTGAGTGCATTATAAGAGTGTCAGTCCCTTGGCGTTCATGCTGGGTGGTATGGTGTTGCTGACTGGCTGTCTTCTCTCTGGTCAATAGTTCAAAATTAGAAACAGCGGCAGATAGATACAAAAATTAATGTTTTGTTTTGTTTGTTTTTGGAGCTTCGTACAAAACTAGCCGTCCCTAATTAAGAAGAACAGTTAGGAGGAAATCTACTAAAAACACCACCCACCGCCAACTTTTGGGCTACTCTTTTATCAACATTTATAACACTATAACACCCCCCACGGCTGAAAAGGCGAGCAATTTTGTTGATGGGATTCGAGATCGCGACCCGCAGATTGTGAGTCGAGTGCCCTAACCATCAGGCCATGCTAGGCCGCTAATGTAAAGTAAAATTCTAGTTTCTAAAGTCATCAGTTACCATTGCTCTTATGAAAACTTGTACATGCATATTAAATAACTAGTCGCTAGTTTTCTAAAATACAACTTTGTTACCTGCAGCTTCAGATTTCAAGATCAATCAAATTTAATTCATTTTCTTGCTCTGACTTTAACTAAAAAGGTTATTTATTTATTAATATAGCAAGTTGTATTTCTTTCAAATATAAAAAATGCGTGTTTAAATGCTAAAACTTTAAGGGCGTCTTGAAGGTTATTTATAAAAATGCACTGAAAATCCTTTAAAAGGTCTCTTTCTCGGCCAATTTATCTTTGGCAAATTCAATCGCATAAAATATCGTTATAGAAAATACTTTAAGTCTTACTTAAAATTATGATTATGTTTTTGGCAAAGCAAAAAACTTTTTGTCTGCACTGTATTCAACTAATTTAGGAAATTAAATATTTTAAGTGCTGCCGTTTTTATATGTTGTGGCCAATAAATTTAGCTAGCTTGGCTAAATGTCAAAATACAACAACAGGGTAGAGTTACCGCAAGGAGAACGAAAAATATCAACGTATCAGCCAGATACCTTTGTCCCTCAAAGAAAGTTGTTTGGCTGAAAAGTTGAT